AACTTTAGAGAGTCAGAGGTGGAGGTTGGTTAAAAAAATGAGTAAATAGCAAGCTGGTGTTTTCAGTATATTACTTAATTTATTCTGGCTAGATTTATGTAAATTATCTTTCCTCCTTTTTTCTTCATTTCTTTTGTTTTCAATACTGGGGTTTGAACCAGGGGCTCATACACTGTGTACCATTGAACTGTATGTATCCCAGTCACACCCCTACTCCCTGCTTTTTTTGTGATAGTGTCTTGCTAAGTTTCTCTGGCTGACTTCAAACTTGGAATCCTACTTCCTCAGCCTCCTGACTAGCTGGAATTGCAGGTGTGTACCACTATCACTAGCTTAATTTTTTTACTGTATTACATAGCCTTGTTCCATAAGAAGATATGCAATTTGTAATACTACCACTGTGAATATTTAGCTCAGTAAGCTGGATATAAAATGAAGACCAGAAGTTGTATGATCTGAGATGTCCAGCTGGTCCGTGTGATGGCTTATATCTATCTGCATGTCCCCTTAAAGCCTCATATACTCATAGGTGGGGCTGTCTATGGAGTATTATAGTGCTAGTAAGGGTATGTGATGCTAAATTAGTGTACTGATTTGAATTAGCATAGTTCTGGATGAGCCTGTATGGATTCTGTGAAGACAGAAGCCCCACCCTGGCTGTGGGTGGCTCTATGCAAAATGCTTATAGTCTGGATTGACTAAATAAAAGGCTGCTTGCTGCTGCTGCTTCGCCGCTTGCTGCTTGATGACTTCTGCCTACCAAGCCATGAATTGTTTCTTCTCTGAGATGCCCCTCTGCCTTGCTGTCTTTCCTTGGAGCGAGCTGGCTATGGAGTGAAGCCTCTACAAACAGCTGACATAAACCTTTCCTCCTTTAACTTGTGGGTGTCGGGTAGTTTGTCTCAGCAACAAGAAAAGTAACAGAGGCAGACCATTACATAGCTGTGTAGTTGTATACCACTTGGAACCTTGCTAGACCTTGTTTTTCTCATTTGAAAAGTAGAAGATAGTCTACATACACTCTTTCAAGGTTGTTGGTGAACAAGTACCAGTACTCAAGATGCTTAGTTTTTGAGGGAAAACATCATTATAATATTATTGTACAGTATTGCAGTGGAAGAAAGTAAATTTTAAAGACATTAGAATGAGCATCTAATTAGACTGGAGATGGTTAGGAAAGTTATTCTGCAGAAAGTAGTGCCATTATAACAGCATGGAGGAAGGCAAATGTGTTGCATTTCTCATAAATAGAAAATTTGTTCAACTGAAGATAGATTTGACAGAAAAATGTTATCGAAAGGTTATCTTGAAGCTACGTAGTATAAAATCATTCATGCCTGGCTGTGTAGTTAGGGCTTTGTATGTAGATAAACATCAAAAATGTTTCATTGAAAGACTTAGTCCTGTGCACAGTCTATCTTAAAAGCACAATTTATACTGGTTAAATGTGTATAAAGATATGATTTCTTAGGCTCATCTCTGGTGCTTTACTGTAATTTAGACATGCGTAAAACCTCTCTGATAGATACATACACAGTTTATTGTATTAAACCCTACAAAAAACATTTTATTTTTGTAATTTTAGCAGTAGATATAGCAAATAGAGATTTGTTACTAGTGTAATCATGGGGCTAGTTACCAAAATGTGTAAGAGTGAGCTCAACATTCTTATAATTTAAAAGCAGTTCTTAGAATGGAAAAATGATTTCCATTTGCTAAGTTTCTTTTTTGTTTCTTTTTGTTGACTACAGAGAACATTAATAAGGAGTTTAATTGGTCCTATTTTGAAATGTAGTTCACTATGAAGACAGGAGGTTAGCACATATACTGGCAACTATGTGTTGTTTGCTATAACTTATCATAACCTACAAGGAAAAAACTAGAAAGAAGAAAATAGCAAGTAAGAATTTAAAATGCAGATTTAAGGAAACGTAAAATCCATGAAAGACAGCAAAGCATTTCTCTACTTTTTAAATTTAAAGAAAAAACCGACTTTATAAAACAAGGTATATCAAAGGTGGAAATTCTTCTTTGATGTACATTTTTGTGAATTTTGCAAATTAAGAGTTTCTGATGGATTTTGATTTGGTTTAGTTTCAGTTTGTTAAAACAGGTTACATTAAAAATCTCTAAATTTCCGTGAAGATTAGAGTGGAAATTCTAGTTATTTTGCTAAGCTTTGACTACTAATTTTTTAAGCCCTTAGTATGTTTTAAGCATCCCTCATCATTTGGTGACTGTAAAAACTGCAGCACAGATATATTAAGTCTGAAATCACCACCATATACATAAGTAATAGCCATAGGATTTTAACCCAGGCATTCTGACTTCAGAGCCCAGCCTCTTAGCTGTTGTTATTTCTTCTGTCCCTATAATCCTTACCAAAACTCAGAGTATACTTTTCCATAAGAATAGTGGTATCACTATATTTTTACAACCCCATAGACTTAGATCAGTGAATATTTCAGTGTCTTGGTAAAACATGCTATAATGTACAAGAATTCATTATAGAGTATATCTACTATAATCTAACTTTTATCTGTTTCCAGAGAAAAAGAACTTTATGACATAAGACAAACTTTAGATTACCTGAACTGTAAGAAATTTTGCTTTATCTTGTGATACACCTCTTGCCCACACTAACTTATTAAATCTGATTCTCTGTCCTGTGGGGAAATGGTAAGTATACAGCTTTTATATCGTTTCTCCCCTCATCTTAAACTAAACAGGTATTTTGCAAACAACACATTTCCATATTCTTTTCAATTAATGCATTCTACCCCGAATGCATTCCAGTTCTTTTTACAGTGGGCTCAATTATGCCAGACTCTATGTAATTACAAGACTCTTGTACAGCATCATTTATATTTAAAAAACCCAAATGTTCCCAGATCTGTATTGTTCATTGTTATAATAGAATAAGCAGAAATAACTACGTGAATATCAGTATTTATTGAATATTTACCATACACCACACCGTTTGCTAAGCTCTTTGCACATAACTTATTTAATTTTCACACTATTGCAAAGTACGTGCTGTTTGCCACTATTTAACAGATGAAGACAATGAGATGTAGAGCTGTTAAATAACTTGACCTGTATACCTGCATTACATGGTGGTACTAGATTTCAGTGCCAAAACAAATTCAAACCTAAACACTGCTGTTAACTGTGTGTTTTGTGAGCTAATATGAAAGCCTGTATTTTAAATTAGTTTTCTGTAAGACTGTGGCTTATAAAATGAACTTCTGAAGCAGTTCATATATAATTTGGTGAATTCAGTTAAAATAGAATTATTTCCTGAATTGAATCCCAGTTAATAACTTGTGGCTTTGTCAAATTCCTGAAATGTAAAATGTGGATGATATCTGTCTCAAAAATATGTGTATATGTGTAATGACACTGTTATACATAATCCACTATAATTATTTATGAAACCTTTAGATGGTAGGGACAGCATAATGTTAATAGGATAGACTTCAGAACAGAACTGACTAGATTGGAATCCAGATTGTGCCACCTGCTAGATATATGACCTTGAGCAAATTTCTTAACTTTGATGTCATGGTTTTTTAAATTTGTGTTATGAGTGTATTGTTCATTATGTAGCTATTTGTGAAGATTGGTGCTTATGTTTTTAAAGCACTGTCAAGCCTAGTATCTGTATTTGAGGGTCTGTAGTTAGTTACACTATCATGGCTCATTTGGTATCCTGAATCAGTGCAAAATGTTTACCTTTCATGGTCATTTTGACTTTGCCAGAAGTTGCATGGTGCCAGATCCAGTGAGGTGGTTGAAGACATACCATAATGTTTTCACAAGCCTGCCTGTCCATTGGATGGCACTTGGCAGCAGCATTCACTGTTTTTATCACACTTCATAAAGACACAAGAGACTACTTAAAACTGCTTTAGAAAGTAGCAAGAAGGATGAGATAAGTGTGCTTAAAGTGGGGGTATGTTTCGATGAATTCATGGTACTGTGTCTTTTACTGTAATAAATTTTGTTTAAATATGTCATTTTTCAGTTGCCCTTTGTATGTTAAGAAATGATGCTTTCATGGTTTTGAGATATTTAATTTTTTAAAGGAATACAAACCAAATATGAAGTATATTTATTAAAATAGATTAATGATTCCATTTTACCTTGCATAGGAGAAAAGGGAACCTTAACACAAAGTTTAAGCACTTTTCAGTAATAACTTTGTTACTTATCACCTAAAAGAGACTTAGTATCCTGGTCTTCTAGCTTTTTTACAAGATGAAGAGCGATTATAAATAAAAACAAAGTAATGAACTTGAATATTGAGTTACATAGTACAGTTATTAGAAGTGGATTACCCCAAATAATTCAGTGATTCTTTTTGAAGTTGTATCAGCAACATGATACTCTTTTGATATGTGACAATCTTGAGTATTTGGTCTCCCTTACCTTCCTACCAACAGTCTTTATTGGTCACTCAGTGTCTGAAACATTTTCCATTGTGATTGAATATCTTCATAGTGGAAAACAAAATGTGAAGGTTTGTATGCTTGTGTTTAAGTATGAGTAACTGATGCAAGTACTGTATTTCAAGAACTATTGGTTTTGTTTACAGAGAATTACCTGGATGGAATTTGTGTAATATTTAAATATACTTTGTTCTCTATCCAGTCAAGTAACAAATAGGGAATTTAATTGCTAAATAAACTAGTCAAATTGCTATAATTTAATTTAGAAATAGTAATGTTAGTAAAATCTTGGACAGTCATCTAGTTCAGTTGCAGACTCTTAATTATTTCTGTAGAAAATTTGAATCTGTCCTAGCAGGTGGTCCTGCAGTTCAAATATTGCCTTTGCTTGTATTGATTCAATTTTTATATTATCTGTAAGCATAAGAAGAATCCACTTAGATGACTTCAGGCTTATTTCAAACCTCTGTTTGTTAGTCTTCAAAAATGTTAACTTCAGTTCTAAGCAAGAGTTGATCCTAGTAAGTAACTTTAACATTTTATTTACAGATTGTCCAAGGACTCCAGATACGCCGAATAGTGACCCTCGTTGTTCTACTAGCAACAATAGATTGATGGCCTTACAAAAACAATTAGATATAGAACTTAAAGTAAAACAGGGTGCAGAAAATATGATACAGATGTATTCAAATGGTTCTTCAAAGGTAAGTACAGTAAATAAAATAATCAAGCCTCATGTTTGCAGGGTCCACTTTCGTTGAGTTCATCTACTTGCGAAAATTGTAATTTGTAACCCCAGTGTCAATGCTGGTAGCAGTTTGGGAGTCATCTGTTACAGAAATCTACCTCCCCACTCTGAATTCTTCTATTTTAAAGATTTTCATTTTTGTAAATCAGTGTTTCTTCATAGATATTTCTTAAATAATTTGAGAATGAAAGTTGTATTTATTTTTATTCTGGTGTAGAAAGAATTTGATTAGGGTGGAAAAGATCACAAAGTCATGCATCACAGCTTCCCACCCTAAATGAAATTTGAGAAGGTACTGTATACACATACTGTATGTGTTATAACTAAAGTTTGTAAGGTAAATTGTGAAAGCTAGATTTTATGTCATATTTAAAAAGGGTTGTTTTTGTTTTGGGGGCTTTTGTTGCTGTTTTTTAATTTATATTTTAAAACAGAATCCCAAAACAGCCCAGGCTGGTTTCATACTTATAATCCTCCTGCCTCAGCTGAATGCTAGAATTACAGGCATGATCACCACACCTGGCTTTTATTATTTCCAGAGAAGTATATTTTTGTTTCTTATAAATAGGATATTATTTCACTAACTTTGAACATTTATTATTAGATGGTAAAGTTTGTTATTTTCTGTGCTATTGTTTTTAGTATTGACCTTTAGTTTTGGAGATTTTTCAGTTTCATCAAAAAATTTTTTGGACTTTCAGTATTTTTATTTCTTTAGCAAAACTATGTTACTGGAACTGTGGTTGTAGTACTTGATGCTATTTTAAAATTAACCCATTTACTGCCCTCTGTAGTAAGATTTTTCTTAAATCTGGGATTGATGGGTTAATTTGAGCTATTAAAGAACCATTTGAAGTTATTTAAAAGGTGAGTTTGTATGCTAATAACTGGATGGGGGAGAGGGTCATAGATTTCACTATGCTCTAGTGGTCTGTATTCCCTGCAAGATTAACCACTGCCATAAACTGAGCAGAGTTATGGACATACTAAAAGTTAAAAAAAATACATAAAGTTACAGTTACTTCAGGTCCAAGATGAATAGGACTGTGACATCCTACTAAAATAAATACATAATTTTCATTAACTATTTTTAATTAGGAGATTGATTAATTTGACAAGGACTCAGAAGTCCAGAGTCTATTAGAGAGGCTGCTATAGTCTCTGAGGTATAGGCCAGCCAGTTGTTTCTATCTTCAGTTTTCATTTTTCATCTTTAAACTTCTCAAAGGGATAGAGAGTATACATCTTTATGAGCTAGGGAAGATTTTAAGTGAAATTGTATGTAATATTTATTCATTATGGTTTTAACATTTTAATAAGACAAGGTAGGCTCTAGGGTATAAATGTGATGGTGCCTTATCCATAATTGCTACTCAACAGATAATATCCTGCTTTTAGAAGACCCACTGTCTAATGTACATGATAGTTTGTATGAATTACTTTGAAAATACCTTGAATAAAGATCACATCACTGCCAGAAAAAAAAAAAGAACATTTAAGTCTCAATATGAGATTTGAAAGACTTGGTATTTCAGGAGGAATTACTTTCTAGGGATGATAATATGGGTAAACCCTGAATATACACAGTAATAAACTGTGCAATACCATGACTTGTTCTAAGAAATGGAAGTGATTTGGTATCGCTGTACCACAAATTCTTAGCATAGTTTTTACCTAATATATCTAAGAGTAGAGAGACTGCACATAATATATTTTTAAAAATGTTATTACTTATTGGTTATACAGATTACTGGTTTCATTTTGGCAGACATTTCTAACATTAACAGTTGTCAACTCTAAGCCTGGCATGTCGGTGCATGCCTGAAATTCCAGCACTCAGAAGACTGAGGCAAGGTTACCACAAATTCAAGGCCAGCCTGGGTCTACATAGTGAGTTCAAGACCAGCCTGAACTACATAGAGAGACCCTGTCTCAGAAAACAAAACAAAACAAAAACCTAGTTGTTAACTCTTGCCCTCATTTTTAGTGAAAGGCCATGCTTTTGTAGAACAACGAGTTTGAATATACAGAAAGGCATAATTTGTTTGAGAAAATTTCTGTAGTTTAGTGCAACAGAATCTTTTCTCCTTTCTCCATTAGTGACTGAGGCATAGCATGAAATACAGCATAACTGAAGCACAAACCAGATTGTATAGTACAAAATTAACTAGTTAGGATTCTATTTCATAAAATATATGGAGCTGCTGCTGGGGATTTAGCCCAGTGGTTCTGATGCCTACCTCGCAATTGCAAGGACCGGAGTTCGATCCCCGGTACAAAAAAAAAAAACAGGTGGGCGGGGTGGTGGTTGGGG